GGCACACAAACATCTAGACCATAGCAAAGGTCAACAAACAAAAATCAATCATATTTCTATATACTGGCAATGAATACTCGCAAATGAAATTTTAAAAACAAAACCATTTACAATGGCTTAAAAAATGAAACATGCCATGTTGTTATGGAGTGAACTGTTTCCCCCCCTAAAATTCTTAAGTTGATGCCCAAACCCCCAATGTGACTGTATTTGGAGATGGGGCCTTTAAGAAGGTAATTAAGGTTATATGAAGCCATAAGAGTGGGGTCTAATCCAACAGGACTGGTGTCCTTCTAAAAATAGGAAGAAACACCAGAGCTCCCTCTCACTCTGCAGATGCACAAAGGAGAGACTGTGTGAGGACAGTGAGAAGGCAGCCGTCTACAAGGAAGAAAGTTCTCACCAGAAACCAACCCTGATCTGGGACTTCCAGCCTCCAGAACTGTGAGAAAATAAATTTCTGTTGTTTAAGCTACTCAGTCTGTGGCGTTTTATGGCAGCCTGAGCAGACTAATACACAATGTATACGCTCTGTATGTTGAAAATTACAAAATGATGATGAAATGAATAAAAGATCAAAATAAATGGAGAGACATACTGTGTTGGACTGGAAGACACAACATAATAAAGATGTCAATTCTCCCCAAATTGATCTATAGGTTTAACTCAATTCCTATCAAAATCCTAGCAAGGGGACTTCCCTGATGGCGCAGAGGTTAAGAATCCACCTGCCAATGCAGGGGACACGGGTTCAAGCCCTGGTCCAGGAAGATCCCACATGCCGCGGAGCAACTAAGCCTGTGTGCCACAACTACTGAGCCCACGTACCACAACTACTGAAGCCCGCACACCCTAGAGCCCGTGCACCGCAACTACTGAGCCCACGTGCTGCAACTACTGAAGCCCACACGCCTAGAGCCTGTGCTCCGGAACAAGAGAAGCCACGACAATGAGAAGCCCGCACACAACAGAGTAACCCCTGCTCGCCGCAACTAGAGAAAGCCCGTGCAACGAAGACACAACGCAGCCAAAAAAAATTAATTAAATTATTCTAAAATTGATATATAATGACAAAGGCAAAGGAACAAGAATAGCCAAAAATTTTTGAAAAAGTAGAATAAAGTTGGAGAAGTCATACTACCTGATTTCAAGACTTACCATAAAGCTGCAGTAATGAAGACGGTGTGGTACTGGCAGAGGGTTAGATACACAGATCAATAGAACAGTAGAGAGTGGAGAAATAGACCCCACAAATATGGCCAACTGATTTTTGACAAACCATAAAATCAATTCAACGGAGAAAAGGTGGTCCTTTCAACAAATGGGGTTAGAACAAATAGAAATCCATTTGCAAAATTATGAACCACGACCTAATCCTTACACCTTACATAAAAATTAATGCAAAATTGATCTTAGGTCTAAATGTAAACCTAAAACTGTAAAACTTATAGAATAGGAGAAAATCTTCATGACCTAGGGTGATATTGTGATTTATAATAAGAAACATATTTTTGGTCTTAGCTCCCAATTTCTGGCAGAAAGAGCTCCTGAAACCCTTGGAGTTTCTTAAGTGAGGAAAGCAATGAAGGTGTCTTTTGTTATGTTAATGAGATGACTTTGGGACCCCCACCTAAGGAGGGGGAGCTGGTTGACAGGAGAATCAACCACGTGATTAGAAGGTTGGAACTTTTAGTCCCGACCCCCAACCTCAGGGAAGGGGAGAGGGGCCGGAAGTTGAATCAAAAGCCAATTGCCAAATAAATAAATAAATAACAACAACGCCAATGAGTTAATCAATCATGCCTATGTAATGAAGTCTCCATAAAAACCCAAAAGGACTGGGTTCAGAGAGCTTCTGAATTGGTAGACACATGGAGGTACTAGGAGAGTGACACACCTGGACCTAGAGAGGGTATGGAAGCTCCACGCCTCTTCCCATATACTTTGCCCTTACACATCTCTTCCATCTGCATGTTCATCTGTATCCTTTATCATATCCTTTAATAAACTGGGAAACGTGTTTCCCTGAGTTCTGTGAGACACTCTAGCAAATTAGTCGAACTCAAAGAGGGGGTCGTTGGAAGCTCCAATCAATAGCTGGTTGGTCAGAAGCACAAGTGATAAGCACTGGGCTTTTGACTGGCATCTTAAGTTGGGAGGTGGGGGCAGTCTTGTGGAACTGAGCCCTTAACCTGTGGGATCTGACACAACCTCCAGGTAGATAGTGTCAGAATTAAGTTGTAGAACACCCAGCTGGTGTCACAGAGAATTGCTTGTTCTGGGCGGAAACCTCCACACATTTGGTGACCAGAAGTATCAGAAGTGAAGCGTTCTGTGTGAGAGTAAAGGAAGATTCACAGGAGTGACACAGTACGAAAGAACTGGGTTTTTCTCTACATAGGAGGTAGAAGACTAGAGGTTTTCCATTTCACCTAGTGTTAGGCAAAGAGTTCTTAGAACTGACACCAAAAGCACAACCCATAAAGGAAATGGTTTATAAACTGGACATTTTCAAAGTTAAAAATTCTTGCTCTGTGAACAACACTATTAAATGAAAAGACAAGCTACACACTTGGAGAAAATATTTACAAACCATGGATCTGACACAGGACTTGTACACAGAATATATAAAGAACTCTCAAAACTCAGTAGTGATTGGTCTTCCCTGGTGGCGCAGAGGTTAAGAATCCGCCTGCCAATGCAGGGGACACGGGTTCGAGCCCTGGTCCAGGAAGATCCCACATGCCTCAGAGCAACTAAGCCCGTGTGCCACAACTACTGAGCCTGCACTCTACAGCCCTCGAGCCACAGCTACTGAGCCCACGTGCCACAACTACTGAAGCCCACGCACCTAGAGCCTGTGCTCTGCAACAAGAGAACCACTGGAATGAGAAGCCCGCACACTGCAACAAAGAGTAGCCCCCGCTCTCCACAACTAGAGAAAGCCCGCCCACAGCAACGAAGACCCAACACAGCCAAAAATAAATTAATTAATTAATTTTTAAAAACCTCAATAGTGATAAAACAAACAATCCAATTTAAAAATGGGCAGAAGACCTGATTGGACACTTTGCCAAAGGGGATATGTGAAAAGTAAATAAGTATATATAAAGATATTCAACATCATTGGCCATTAGGGCAATGCAAATTAAAGCCATTATGAGATAACACTACACACTAGAATGAGTAAAATTAAAAACGCAGTTGACCCTTGAACAACATGGGTTTGAGCTGCATGGGTCCACTTATATGTGGATTTTTTTCAATAAATGCATACTACAGTACTACATGATCTGCAAGTTAGTTGGAAACACACATACAGAGGGCCGATTGTAGGTGGATTTTCAACTACTGGGGGAGTCAGTGCCCCTAACCCCAGCGTTATTCAAATGTCAACTGTACTGACAATACCAAGTGCTGGCAAAAATGTGAAGCAATTGGAATTCTTAAACATTACTGGTGGAAATGAAAAATAAATCAACCATCCTAGAAAACAATTTGGCAGATTCCTAAAAAGTTAAGCCATACACTTACCACATGACCCAGCAATCCAATATTTACTCTAGAGAAATGAAAACATATGTTCACACAAAAACCTGTATATGAATGTTTAAAGTAGCTCTACTCACAACTGCCAAAAACTGAAAATAATTCAAATGTCTTTCAAAAGGAGAATGGATAATTAAGCTGTGGTACATCTACATCATGGAATGCCACTCAGCACTAAAAAGCAAAGAACTATGGACACACACAACTTGGCTGAATCTCCAGGGAATCATACTGAGTGAAAAAAAATCCAATCTCAAAAGGTTACAGACTATGTGATTTGATTTATATCACATTCTTGAAATGACAAAATTCTAGAAATGGAGAACAGATCAGTAATTGCTAGAAGTCTAGGCATAGGGTGAGGGGGGGAAAGGGATGGATGTGGCTATAAAAGGGTAACATAAGGAATCCTTGTGGTGATGGAACTGTGTCTTAACCATATCAATGTGAATATCCTGGTTGTGACATTGTGCTATAATTTTGCAAGATGCTACCATTGATGCAAACTTGGTAAAGGATACATGAGATCTCTCTGTATTATTTTTACAACCGCATGTCAATCAATTGTTGCAAAAGAAAGTTTAATTTGAAAAAAGGAAAGTTATATACTGTATGATACCATTTATATGACATTCCTGAAGAGATAAAACTCTAGTGACACAGAACAGGTCTGTGGTTGCCTGAGGTTACAGGGAGGGGAGGATATGACTAAAAGGGGTTGCATGAGGCAGCTCTTTGGCGGGATGAAACTATTCTCTATCCCATAGATTAGTTATAACAATCTACATAGGTGTTAACATTTATCGACCCGAACAACAAAATCAATTTTACAGTACACTAATTTTAAAAATAAAAAAGATTTAAGTGAAAGAAAAAAGATGGTGGGCTGTGGGTGCCTACAGGACTTTGTCCCTGGCCAAATGAGAATCAAAAGTCCAACTGAGAAAATTACTTCAGCAAAATCATTTGGAAGACAAACAAATTCCCTAAGATATCTCATTCCCAAATTACATCTAGATATTATGTCTCCAGCTCACTGAAGAATGCTATAAGGAATATCTGCAGGAAACCAGAGACTGCATTTATCATTAGGTTGTGATTGACGACAATTCCACCATCCACACGAAGATTCAGCAAAGAAATGCCTTGAAAGGCAATTGCAGGAAATCTTCCCTGAGGGCTTGATGTGTTCTCTCCTTGAAGAGTAAAGTGAGCCAGACTACCTCTGGCTGCCAGAGGCTCAAAGAGAAATTTGCAACTCAACTAATATTGTACTGCGTAACTGTCTGCTGCCCTAAGTCATTTGTCTACATTCTAACCTGGCCTTGCTGCTGTCTCATTTTCCCTGATTCTAATGCTTATTTATAAATAATTTTCTTTTATGTCTGAGATTCCTACATCGCTCATCACATTCATGGTAAAATAAAAGAAGGAACACACAATATCCTTACCTGGGCTTTGGCCATTTCCTGCTCTTCTTGGGAAAAGACAGAGATGTGTGAAGCCTGAGCTAAAAGAGTGGAGAAGTGGAGAGCATATGAGAGACCCCATCAGGCTTCCAGTGCCCAGAATTATCGGCCTAAAAATCCCCTCACATGAAGCTGCTCTGTGGCAGTTTGGGCGACCATGTGGTTTTAACAACCACTTGTGTATTCTTGAGTCTTTTCCTCATGTGAACATCTAACACAAAAGGTTTTCTTCTATACATACTTGTGTACTGACTCAGAAATTGTATTTCTAGGTATTTTCCTTAATGAAATAATGTATCATAATTTCTCTTTAAGTACCTTCATCTCAGCATTGACTTTAACAATGCCAAACTTAAACGATCCTCTATGACCCATGATATGGGATTAATAAGGAAATACAAGGGATTAAATTCTATGTAGCTACTGAAAATAATGTTGTATGGTACTGTACACTTATTATCTGTGTATTTTCTGTACATATATCTAAATTACAAGTTTTTTAAATGTTACAGAATAAATCTTTAAGCTGAATCGCAGTAACTTCTAAATGAAAACAAAGGCAGGTTATCAAACTTCAGGAACCCATTTTAAAACCATATGTTAAATGTTTAAAAATGCATATCCCTTATACACACTAAAAAGTGTCTAAAGAATGAACATTTAAACAGAGGGGGCTAAAATTAGTTCTTTTTTATTTTCTTCTCTATTTTCTAATCAATCTATAATGCAAATGTGTTACTTACGTGTTAAATGCCAAAAAACCCCACTGAACTTTAACACTTATTCCCAGGCGTTTTAAGCCCCATCCCCACCCCCACCCCGCCAGACCCCACAACACCAGACCCTGCCCACGCCTCCCAAGCCCCAGGCTCTGCGCGAGGCCCCTAATCAGGTGAGTTCTCTCTGGTGCCTCTTCTTGCTTCTCCTCACCTCACTGGGGACGTCTTGCCCAGGAGCCAAAAGGAAGCCTTCGGGTGCAGATTCACTTCAGCTGGAGCATTCACACAAGGCCCCTACCTCGGGGCTCGGGCAAGGGGAGAGGAACAGAGGGAGAGGCGGGGGCGCCTAAGGAGGAGCTTGAGGGGTGCGTATGAACCCTTAGCGCAGGTCACTGTGCTGGAAAATGTGTAAAAGTCAACGTTTAATATGCCCCATTCAACCCCGACTAGCCCCATAACTTTGTCTACCATTGAGCCCACAAACCCTCATTCGCTGACCTCTCGGTCCACCCCACAACCTCCCACATCAGTGACCCCCCCCAAAACCCGCTTCATTCGTCCCCCAGAACTCCCCATCACTCAGCCCATCACCCCTACTACTCGCCCCCTCAACCTCTCTCTCGACACAGATTTTGTGCTCGCTGCAGAGGAGACCGTTACGAAAACTGGCCCCGAGAAGCACTTCCGCTTTGGGACCAACTCCGGCTCCGCAGCCCAGAGGGCTGTAGCGGCCGGTGTGCGCACGCTCAGTGGGGGCTTTGAGTCCGCGTACACCAATAGTCAACATGGGGACCCCTACCGCCTGCCGGACGCGAATGCGACGGGGCTGCAGCGCAGGCGCAGAGGGGAGATGGCCGCTCCGGTGACGTCACTGCTCTGAAACGATGGCCGCGCCCACTGCGTCTCTTCCCTTCGAGGGCGGCAGTGTAGAACAGGTGCTTACTTTGATTTGCGGAGGCCGTCATTCCTAAGACTCCAAAGATCGGTTTCCTTATGGAGGGAGGGGAAGGGCCCAATTAAGGAGAATGCTAGCAGGCAGGAATTTCATGTCTTGAACCTGGAGGGCAGTATCGGGTTTGCAGGTGTAATTGAATAGGAAGTCGGGATGCGTGGCGGAATTGCTCAGCATGCACAAAGGCTAGGAGGTAGGGAGAGGTCACTGGCTCCATCCAGTGGCTAAGGCTGGGAGTTTACAGCCTAGCGTTTGAAGGACGGTGTGCAGACAAACAAGAAGCTGAAGAATAAATAAATGGCCACCTAGTACACACACACACCGGGATGAAGGGGATGTGTTAAGTAGTGACTGACAATGTTGTTGTCTCAGGATGGGCAGGGACGGTCTCCTTCTGTCGGGGGTGACAGTTACGCTGGTCAAAAGGAGCCGGCTGCACAAATATTTGAAGCAAAGAGCTTTGTGGTGGAGGGCGCGGCTGTTACAAAGGCCCTGAAGTAGGACCTGGTTTGGCACGTTGGAGGAACAGAAACAGTGTCAGTGTGTTGGGAATATAGAAGGTGTGGGCAAGGGAGAAGTGAGTGGGTGCCAGATGCTGTAGGGCCTCCTCTGCCAGGGACAGAGCTCATGTCTCATTCTGACATAATGGGATGCCATTAAGGGGGATCAGATTTTTAAAACACCAGTCTGAAGCAGTCTAGCATTATATATTAACTTTAAAAATACACGTAGATTAGACTCTTGTTTATTGCCTGTCTTGAACCGCTAGGACATGAGCTCCACAGGAATTTGCTTAAGCACCTCCCATATGCCAGGTAGTGTTCTAGATATTGGGAATACTGCAGGAGAGAAAACAGAACCAAACAAACAAACAAACGTGATGGAGACAGCCTGGTTGCAAACTCCCACCTACCAGCTGTGTAATCTAGGGCAGAACTCAACTCCTCTGTGCTGAATTTCCTCATCTATAAAATGGGGGATAATGACAGCACCTACCTCGTTAGGACTGTGGTGACAAATGAGCTGATAACTGTAAATGGCTTAGAGCAATGCCTGGAACACAGCAAGGGCTGTGTACTGATGATGATGATTAAAATAAAATTAGGCGTGTGTATGTATAAAACTTTTTTTAATAAGAAGAAAAAAATAAAAAGATGACCTGCAGGCTGCTTTGTGGATGACAGATTGCAGAGGGCAAGGGCGAAAACAGGAAGAACAGTAAGGAGGCTCCTGCCAACAGGCCCAGCAAGTGATAATGGAGGCTCAGACCTAGCTCAGTATCTCCTGTGTGCCAGGCACTGTGTGAAGCACATGACATGACCTGCCTCAGATAGTCCCCACTTTCTGTGAACAATCCCGTGGTTCCACCCATCTTGTTAGGTGAGGAAACTGAGTCCCAGAGAGACTAAGTAACTTGCCCAAAGTCACACAGGTTCCCAAGATCGGATCCTTAACTTCTACCCAATAATACTCTTCTTTTGTTTATTCAGTATCCCACAGAACTTCCAGAAAATATCTGAGGGTGTTCATTCCAGAACCATTAAAACCAGGCAAGGAATTTTTTTGTGGGGGGGGGCAGGAATATAGATGGAGCTTCCTAGCAGACAAAGCAAAGAGAGAAAGCAGGGAAGTAACTCAGGTCTCTTGCTCTCTTAAGGATCTGTACCTCCTGGGTACAAAACTTGTCAACTCTCTTAATGAATTAGGATGTGGAAAATAGGAGGGGCTGGACCTTTAGGGCCCCTGTCAGTCTGGCCTCTTCCACCCTGTAAACATAACTTCTCCACCACCTTGTACACACACATATATACACACACCCCTGTGTGGAGGGGGAAATCCTATAGGGTTGGTGGGTGTTGGGGTACAGTGATTTCCAGCTCCAAAAATATTCTGAGCCAGTGATACAGCCCTGCAGAAACTGTCCCAGGGTTCACAGTGCATATCCACAAGCTATGTGAAACCAGATTTTCTGCTGTGGAGCTAGGATGCCCACTCTCTGTCCTGGGCATCCTCTACCATCAGTCCCTACAGGTACAAACTCATTCAGTGGCCTAAGCAGCAGGTAGCTAGGTGAAGGGGTGTGGAAAGCTGACAGGTAGCTGGTCCCACCACAGAATCTGCACGATGTGACATTCCAACCCAAAGGCCACCCCCACCTCGCTGGTGAGTCATTAAAACTGCTCTTAAGATACATTTTCTCAAAACTGTGGAAGTGTTGCCAATTGTGAGCAATCATTTTGGACCATGAGGTAGCAGGTGAGTTTGGCAGAGCTACAGCATACGAGCAGCCAGCTCTCTGGTGAGCTTGGAGCTGCCACTCTAGCCCTCCAAGAGAGGAATCCCTGCCTCCAAGAGAGGAATCCCCTTCCATCCTCTTGAAGCTATTGGTATTTAGGGTGGTATTGGTATGTGCTGCCAAACTGAATCCTGAACAATACATCAGACTTTTCTGTCTTGGCGTGTCACTAAACAGAGACATGTGGGACCAGTGAGGGCAGGGGGCGGTGAATAATGGTGAATGAAGGACAAATTGGGAATGAATGGGGGCAAGAAGAGACAAAGGGGGATGGCAGGGAGGTGAATGAGCAGTAGAGTGGAGTGAATGTGGGTAGTGTGGGGCAGAGTGAGGAAATGACTACGCATTCTTTTTTTTTTTTTTTTCGGTACGCGGGCCTCTCACTGTTGTGGCCTCTCTCGTTGCAGAGCACAGGCTCCGGATGCGCAGGCTCAGCGGCCATGGCTCACGGGCCGAGCCGCTCCGCAGCATGTGGGATCTTCCTGGACCAAGGCACGAACCCATGTCCCCTGCATCGGCAGGCGGACTCTCAACCACTGCACCACCAGGGAAGCCCTACGCATTCAATTTAAGCTTATGGATGAGACTGAGTAAGTGATGGGAAAATGAGGCACCGTCTAAGTGGCAAAAAGTGAAAGAGGGAGTGGACTGTGAGTGAATGGGGCAATGAAAGGTGGTGAATGTGAATGGGGTTGATAAAGCACGAGAGTGCAAGTTGATATGAGTACTAAGGATTGAAGTGTAAATGAATGATGGTTTATGGGGCACAATATGAGTAAGGAGAGGTGAATTTAGGGAGAAAGTAGCAGTGAATGGAAGTCATGTGAGGCACAGAGGGAAGAATGGGGGACACAAGGGGCAGAATAAGAGGAAACAGAAATGAATACATGGTAGAATGTGAATAAGTGAATCGAGTCGAGTTTGTTTGAGTGGGGATACTACGAGGGAGGAGAGCGACCAGAGGTGAATAAGAGGCAGACTGGGATTAGATGGGGTAGGTATGCGGGGCAGCGTTCCAGTAATGTGCAGAGATCCCAGTGGGAATCAGCCCAGGTGAATGAGCAAAAGCATGTGCGTGAATGGAGGTAATGTTGGGCACAGTGAGAGGGGATGGAAGTAAAGAGCAGAAGAAGGTGAGTAATTGGGTATTGTGAGGCAAGGGGAGAGGGGATGAAGGTCACATAGCCCAAGGTGAGTAAAGTGGGGGAAATGGAGCCCAATGTGAGCAAAAAGTGGTAAATCCGAGGCAGAGTGTGACTGAACGAGGGTACCGCGAGGCAGAGTGGGAGCAACTCAAAATGAATCGGGAGCAGAACAAGAGTGATGAGTGGAAACAGGGGTTACATCGGGAGTGACTTTAAATGAATGAGATAATGGGAGGCAGTGAAGATTGAGAAAGAATGGAGGTGACCAAGTGTAGAGTGAGTATGTGTGGATAACTTGGGCTAGTGTTTGGGAGTAATACAGTTTCAGGAAATGCAGGTAATATGGGAGAAGCACTTGAGAGAATAGAAGTGAAGAAGGGGGCAGAAATAGAGTGAATGAGGGAGGGAATGAGGCCCAGAGTCAATGAACAAAGATGAAGGATGGGCCACGTGAGAGCGGATGGGAGTCATTTGATGCGGTGTCAGGCAGTGAAGGTGAAAGTGGGAAATGAGAGTCTGAGTGGGAGTGAATGGAGGTGAAGAAGGAATAGGATGTGAGAGAGCTTGGGTAAGAGTAAGTAGAGGGTTAGGGAATTGCAGTAACACGAGGCCCAGTGTGAATGAATATAGGTGGATAAGAGGCAGTGTAAGTGGACGAGGGAATAAAATGTAGAATGAGAACGGGGGTGAAAAAGCAGTAGAGTGAACATGTATATGTAATATGTAATGTGGGACAGAGTCTGATTAAATGGGTGTAACATGGGGCAGATTCCAGTAAATGAGGGTGGGACAAGCACACTGAGTGAAGAGAGGTGAAGGAGGTGCTGAGAACGAGTAAGTAGAGGTAATGTGGAACAAAGGGGAGAGCACAGCGGTCATATTTTATAAAGCATGAGGAATCCGAGGTGGTAGTAGGCATGGTGTAGTGACCAGAGCTGACTGCTCAGCAGAGTGGGGGAAATGGAGGTGATGAGGGGCAGAATGAGTGGAAATGGAGGTAACCAAGTGGTAGAGCATGATTAACGGGAGTAGAGTGGGACAGTGTTAAGGAATGTAGGGGAATGTGGGCTGAGTGTGAGGTCTAGTACCTGGGACCTGTCTGTCCTTTTTGTGTCCCAAGCCCCTCTCTCCCTGCATCCCTTTCTGATATCTCTGGGTTTCTCCCTGTCCTTGTCTCCTTCCACCTCTGTGTATACATTAGTATCTTTCTTTTTCTTTGTTTCTGTCTTTAACAGAGCTAGCACAGGGGAAGATGGTGATGTGCCCAACCCTCTGGCTTCTCTGTTCCAGAATCTGTCACTTAGATCTTCACAGAGCCCAAAATTCCAGCATACCCTTAGTTCTGAGCACTGAAGGGTGAGTCTGAAGCAATGGGTCAGTTAGGAGGGCTTGTGCATGTCATAATGCAGGCCTGGGACACTATGGTGGTGACCCTGGCCATGCTGATGCCTGCCACTGTGGATGCCAAGATCTTCCAACGCTGCGACCTGGCAATGAAGCTGGAGGAGGCGGGCCTCAACGGCTTCAAGGGCTACACCATTGGAGGCTGTGAGACTCGTCACCCCATGCCACGAGCCGCCCACCACACTCAGACCCAAGCCCTCCCCCATTGCCATTTGTTACCTCCCAGGCTAGGGAATGATCCTCTCAGTCACCCTCTGACTATGATGAGTACTTTAACTAACTCTAGTTTCATCATCATTGCCTTCACAACCATTTACCCTCATCTCTACTAACACCACCATCCCTACCATCAATGTCATCACTGCTGTTATCACCATGGATACCATCACCACCACCATTACTGGTATCTCACCAGAATCACCAACATCAACCCCAAACCAAGAATTCACCCCCAACAACTAAGATGAAAACCATCCCTGGGGGCTTCCCTGGTGGCGCAGTGGTTGAGAGTCCACCTACCGATGCAGGGGATGCGGGTTCGTGCCCTGGTCCGGGAGGCTCCCACATGCCACAGAGTGGCTGGGCCCGTGAGCCATGGCCGCTGAGCCTGCGCGTCCGGAGCCTGTGCTCTGCAACGGGAGAGGCCACAACAGTGAGAGGCCCGCGTACCGCAAAAAAACCCAAAAAACAAAAAAGCAAACAAACAAACGAAAAAACCCATCCCTGCCCCATTCCCTCATCCTACCCTCTCCCCTATTCCCAAGACCCATGCCCATCTGCTACCTTCCCCCTCCCTGCCCCAGTGCTGTGCATGGCACACTATGAAAGTGGCTTTGACACCTCCTTCGTGGACCGCAATCCTGATGGCAGCAGTGCATATGGCATTTTCCAGCTGAACTCCACCTGGCGGTGTGACAGTGGTGTTACACCTACCCAGAACCTCTGTCACATGGAGTGTCATGGTGAGGCAGCATTGAGGACACCTTGAAGCCCTGCCTGGCCTCACTCCCCAACACGCAGAGGGCAAGACTGTCTAAGCCATAGCCTTGAGTAACAAGCAGAAAAATGATAGGGAAAGGAGCAGACTTGCCTGGGCTGTTACAGACACCAGCCTGTATCCTTACCCAGACTGCACTGAGATGTTGTCTAGGTAAGGAGGACTCAGAGCTCCCAAACCTCACCTAGAATGGAGGCTGCCATCTTCTAGGACTCAGGAAACAATACACTTAGCTCCAAGTGGAATGGAGGGGGAAACTGTCCTGATTTGGGGTTGGGGTTGTCCAGGCCCTGAAGGAAGAAGCAGATATCTGTCTGTAGGAACAGAAACAAGGTACCTCTGTGCAGAAAGGAGAGAATTTTCCAGACGAGAGTGTGGTATTGTTGAGGACAAAATTGAATAGCAGTAGAAGTTGTTCAGGGTTGGCCAAAATGGTGTTTGAGGTTGTCCAAGATAGGCCAAAATGGAGACTGTGGTTATTTGGGACCAGCCCAAGTGGAGGTTGAAGTTGTCCAAGTCCTGCCACAGTGACAGAAGAGATCACCCAGGACTTGCCAGCTTGAAGGCTGAGGTTATCCAGGACTAGTCAACATAGTGGTTGAGATCATTAACTAGTCAGAATGGCAGTTAAGGTCATCCTCGTCTAGCCACCATAGCAGTTGATGTCATCTAGGACCAGGCACCATGGTAGCTGAAGTTGAACAGGACTAGCCAACATAGAGACTGAGGTCACTTGTAACTAGTAAAAATGGGTGTTGATGTTATCCAGGACCTGACAACATAGTGTTTGAAGAGTCCCCAGGACTGACCAACCTTGCAGAGGAGTGGCTTTCCAGCCAGCCAACAGCCATTGCAGTTGAGATCATTCATAACCACACAAAATGACAGTTGAAGTCATCTGGAACTGGCCAACATGGAGTCTGAGGTTGTCCAGGACCAGCCAATATGGTGGTTGAGGTTATTCATAACCAACAAACATGACAGTCAAGATCACTCAGGATCAGTCAATGAGTTAAGGTTGCACAGAACCAGTCAACATGGCAGTTGATGTAATTCATAGCCAGCTAATAAGTGAATCAAGGTCATCTAAAATCAGGCAGTATAGTGGTTGAAGTTATTCAGGCCCCAAGAAACCCAGAACCCCTTGTCCCTTCATACACTGTCACCCTGTCCCCAGTACACCGGATTACTATATCCCTCTCTTCCTCCTAGAACTGTTCAACCGCCATATTCTGGATGACATCATGTGTGCCAAGCAGATAGTGTCCTCACAAAATGGTATGAATACCTGGTAAGTCTCATGGGGATGTCTTGGACTCTGGGCAGCGGGGATAGTGGCACTACCACCCCATCAGCCTGTCCACTTCATCCTCCCTCTCTCCCTTCATTTCCCAGGGATTCTTGGAGCCAGCACTATTCTGGCCATGATTTATCTGAATGGCTCAAGGGGTGTCATATGTATGCAAAACCTTACACAACAGAAATTAATTCATGACTCAGCTTCCCAGAGATAGAGATTCCATTTTCCCTTCTGTCCTTTCTTTTGTGGATTTAATAAAGGATGATATCTATAAACAATTCAAGAGATCCCTGATGTCTGACTCTCTTCATTTTTCCAATGCCTGAAGGTACCCCTATTCAATCACTCCCTCCATATATTCAAAGCTGTAATCAGGGGACACAAGCTCACTCAGGGTGGGGGTGGAGGATAATGTGTGATTAAGAGCATAGGTTCTCCTGGGTTCAGAAATAATCTCTACCACTTACTGTCCCCAAGTTGCCTTGGGTAAGGCACTTAATTTCTTTGTGCCTCAGTTTCCTCACCTGCAAAATGAGGATGATAGTGGTAGTAACTATCTCATGGGTTGTTGAGAGAATTAAATGAATTAATGTTTGTAAAGCACATAAAGTGTTTAGTGCACAAGACAATTCTAGGTCTGGAAATAGAAGGGTGGGGTGGGGAGGTATGAAAATTGGCTTCCCTTAAAAAGTATCACTCTCAGTTGAAGTAACTACAGGGGCTTTAATTAAGGTAGATACAGTCTCTTCAGGGGAAAATGGAATTGGTTTCAGCTGACAGAGAAAGCTCAGTGGGAATTAGGATTTTAAAGCATTCACATTCTCCCACATCCTCCCACATTATTACCATTCTAACTCTCAGCCCCCAACTCCTTCTTTCATGATCTGTAACCAAAGTTTCAAATGACAAACTGGAAATTTAGGCCAGGAATTCAATGGATGCACAAGGTAATAATTATCTTTACAGAATCCCCGGGTTTCGGTCTATGTCTTGAGCAGAGAATTTAGGAATTTGAACTTGCCATTCTTTCTCTTTGTGCTGACCAGCCCCATTGGAAGCAGCCACCCCCGTGAGGAAGCAGTCCCTCACGTCCTTTGTACTCTTTGGTTGGGGTGGATATTCAACTACCCAAAGCCTTGTTTTCAGTGTTGACTTCATCCAGATAAGCACAGATGATCATTAAAGCAGTTATCTGCCACTGCATGCCAAGGGATACCAGAGCCCCCTTCCTTAATGCCACGTGGATTTCCCCTGCCTTCAGCCCCAACCAGCCTAGATAACCAAATCTCGCATTTCCCTGGGGTCCGATAAAGGTACCATCACTCTGGATACCAATTTCTGAATGAGATAGTTATTTATCAAAAGCAGCATAAATAAACTCTGGTGAATTTAAGTAAAAAGCAGATCTCCTAAAAGCCTATCAGGTAGCTCATAGTATTTCTGGGAAGACTGCATGATCTAGCTCAGGCAGGGGGAAGGTCCACACAAAGAAGAAGCCAAAATCTTGAACGTAGAATAGGTTGGGGCAAGAATATTGGCATTATCAACTGTTGCTACTTCTGAAAACTGGATTTGATGCCCTAGTGTTTCCTTTACATTTTTCCGATTATGCATCCTTTCTAATAATTTACAACATTTATAGTATATTTATCATTGTTATTCCTTTAGTGGTTATCTTTAAATCTCTAATTTTATATCATTTGATAAACTCTTTTTTCGGTAGATAGCACTTATTCCCCATTATGGAAGATGTGAAAGCAGCTGTTCTTCATAATAGACTGTATTAGGTTTTTTTCTATGAGAGTTTGATATTAAATCTGGAATATTTCCCTTAATATCATTGCCATGGGACTATGTTTATCGAAATCAATTAAATTGGGTTTCTCTTGATACCTGTGCCCAGATTTACCATGAGGTTTGGCTCTCATATATTCAAGGCTTCAAAGGACTGCAGTCTTGAACAACCTCTCTGATGTAAAATAGTCATTCACTATACACCCATGATAACAACTACAGAGGCCAAGTATTTTGCACCAGTATCTTGGCTCTTGCTATTCCTTATGCCTGGAATGTTCTTACCCCCAGTATGGCTGGCTCCTTATTTTTAGAAAGACCTTCCCTGACCGCCTTAGCTAAGGCATGATCCTTTCACCTCACCTTTTTCTTTTCCTTTCACTTTTTTATGAAGGATTTTCCATTTTCAGTCCTTTTGCAAAGTTTCTCTTTTCTCTGAGTTCTTTAATCCATGATGAACTTTAACTTCTGGAAGGTTTTTCTTATATTCAGGAAAGCCATAGGGTTTCTCGCCTATGTGGGTTCTTCGATGTAGAGTGAGTTTTGACTTCTCTCTGAAGGCTCTACTACACTTATCACATTTATAGGGTTTCTCTCGTGTGTGAGTTCTTTGATGTATAACGAGATATGATTTCAGGGAGAAAGCTTTCTCACATACATTACACTCATAGGGTTTCTCCCCTGTGTGAACTCTCAAATGAATAATGAGATATGACTACTGGAAGAAAACTTTATCACATTCATTGCATTCATAGGATTTCTCAAATTTTTCTCCTGTATGAGCTCTCCAATGTAACATAAGATAGTACTTCAGGGAGAAGACTTTCCCACATACAGTACATCCATAGTTTTTTTCTACTGTATGAATTCTTTGATGAGCACTGAGATTCAGCTTAAGGGTGAAGGATCCTCCACAGTCTAAACACACATAAGGTTTCTCTCCTGTATGAGTTCTTTGATGTCTACGCGATTTTGATTTCTCTCTGAAGGATTTGCCACATTCATTACATTCATAGGGTTTCTCTCCTGTGTGTGTTCTCTGATATGTACCTGTTTTTTTTTTGTTTTTTTGGGTTTTTTTGCAGTACGCGGGCCTCTTACTGTTGCGGCCTCTCCTGTTGCGGAGCACAGGCTCCGGACAGGCAGGCTCAGCCGCCATGGCTCACGGGCCCAGCCGCTCCACGGCATGTGGGATCTTCCCGGACCGGGGCACGAACCCGTGTCCCCTGCATCGGCAGACAGACTCTCAACCACTGCGCCACCAGGGAAGCCCTGATATGTACCTTTTGATTGAAGGTTCTCGCACATTCATTACATTCACAGGATTTCTCTTCTGTGTGAGTTCTCTGATATATAATGAGCTTTGTCTTTTCTTGGAAGGCTTTGCCACATTCGTTGCATGTATATGGTTTATCACCTGTGTGCGTTCTCTGATGTATATGCAGTGCTGATTTCTCTCTGAAGGATTTGCCACATTCATTACATTCAAAGAGTTTCTCTCTTTTGTGCGTTGTACTTCTGATATACACTGAAGTGTGCCTTCTTGTTGAAGGCTTTTCTGTATTCTGTACATCTGTAGGGTTTTTCTCCTACATGAGTGATCTGATGAGCAATAAGGAGTGAATTCTTGCTGAAAGTTTTTCTACACTCAGGAAATTAACAGATTTTCTCTCCAGCTTGAGTTATATTATGCTGAACAAAGAATGGGTTATGCTTATGACCTTTCCCACCCACATTATGGTCATGGGATTTCATTCCATTATTTTTCTCAAGCCTGCCATGAATTAATAATTTTCCACATCCATTACATTCATAACATTCTGAGCTGCAAAGCCTCTATCATGACCGAGTAAACCCTAATTATCTTGAAAACTTTTCTGAGTCATATATATAGGGAGTGTGTAATGAAGAAACCACCCCTGTGCTCTGAGGAAGTGGGTTTACAAATCCATTATATTCGTGACCTCTATCCTTAGTCAAATTTTTCTCATTAATGGATATAGCTTTCCTCAGGTGTCTGTTTTGGTTTTTCTGGTACCTCTCCAGCTGGTCAACTTGCCAGACTTCTAGAAAGAAGAATAATAAACCATACCGTGTGAATACACCTTTTGTCAGAAGCAGACCTTTGTAGGGTTGACTTTTATTTTCTTTTTACTAGATACCAGTCAGAAAGAAATTCGAAGCACATGTCTCTCCCATATGCTGAGCTTAAGGGGAAAAAAGCTCAAATTGCTCTAATAGATATTGGAACAGGAGAGTAACAATGAATATAAGTGACTTTGATTGTTTAAGAAAAGTACCTTAAAATTGAGGAGAGAAAGTGAAAATAGGTTTAGGTAGCCACTGAGTAGGAAAAAAGGATTTTTTGAAATGGTATCAGATCTAGGATTTGGAGGGAGGGGACTCAAAACAGGATGGAAAGAGCCTTTCAGGAAGGCTGAAAATAACTGAGGTGACCAAGGGAAGAAGCAGAAGGACAAGGCCAATTATAGTCAAGTTCCTCTCCATCTCATTCCAAGATTACCATGAGACAGTAACTCACAAAACTAACAATTTGGAGTTAGAAAAAAAAAGTTCATATGCTTTAGGAAGATATTTCTGAGCTTTAAGAGATGTCTGGCACTCACTGACACACTGGAGTCTTACCCTCATCATCTCCCACCTATTCATTTCTTATTTACCTGTACAACTTGAACTTGAGATTTCTCTCTCTATGATCCAAAGTCCTCGCTTCTCCAAAGAGGTAATCATATCTACTTCAGTAACAGGATACCCTGTAATGGGAAAAGATACAGGACTTGGGCACATCTGTGTGGGCTTCAGGGCCTCAAAGTAATTAGTAAGGTACATTTTAATAAGCATAAGTTTCACATGAGAGGTGAAAATACAAACACCTTGTTCAGTCTAAGAGCAATTAAGAATCTTTAGTTCCTCAGAAATAGACTCACAGACATAGAAAACAAACTTATGGTTACCAAAGGGGAAAGAGAGGGGGAGGAGGGATAAATTAGGTGTATGGGATTAATAGATACAAGCTACGATACATAAAATAGATAAGCAACAAGGATTTACTGTATAACACAGGGAACTATATTCAATATCTTATAATAACCTATAATGGAAAAGAATCTCAAAAAATATATGTATATATATAACTGAATCACCTTGCTATACACCTGAAACAAATACAATATTGTAAATCAACTATATTTCTATAAAAAAATTTTTTAAAGAATCTTATGGTTACCAAAGGGGAAAGGGAGTGGGGGAGGGATAAATTAGGAGTTTGGGATTAGCAGATACAAATTACTATATGTAAAATAGATAAACAACAAGGACCTACTGTATAGCACAGGGAACTATAGTCAATATACTGTAATAAACCATAATGGAGGGACTTCCCTGGTGGTCCAATGTTTAAGACTCCACGCTTCCACTGCAGGGGACGCAGGTTCAATCCCTGGTCAGAGAACTAAGATCCCATA